CACCCAGCTATGCTCGGTATGTGCCGTTTTCATCCTCAAATTCAGCTGTTTTCCCTTTCGAATTTCTATTTTAAGTTAATTTTTGCTATTTTTGGTAATATTTCGATTGCACGTTAGGATATTTGAGCTAGATTTTTTTCAGAATACTTATTTTATTCCATATTTTCGTTTGGCGTGATTTTTGGAATTTTGCCATTTTTGGTAAAATTCGAATTTCGGCTATAAAGTCCGGCTTGTGGACTTATTTTGATCATGGCGTGATATAATAAAATTCTCTAAACTTCAGAGACGTTTCTCTGTATTTTTTCGGCGTTAATCTTGTGTTCTTATTTTGATCATGGCGTGATTTTTTTGCAGAATATTTATTGTGTATTGTTTATATGCCTGGTTACATTGCATCCTTGTGGTAATAATGTTGATATGTAAGGCTAAAGTTTGAAGTGAATATTGACTTGTATGCCTAACTGTTATAGTTATTTGATATGAAAATGTTGCTTAATTTTTGGGAGGTTCATTCTACTTTGATTATAACCACCCCACAGATCTTCTAAATTATAAAAAGGGGCAAAAGTAATGCTCCCCGTCCCATTTATGTAGGCCGACTTTCCTTATTTTTTTATAAATTTCCGTTTTATTATTGAGAATATTTTGTTTTGTTCTTTTACTAACATTCCTTTATTTAATTTGACTAGTTATAACCAATTTTTTTTTCTAATTTACTATTAGTCGTTAATAATTAAATAAAGATAAACTAGGAATTTTTTTTGTGAAAATTGATTTTTCAATAATATTCAATAAAACTTTTTAATTCGTGTTAAAAACAAAACCAACCTATATAAATGTGGACGAAAGGAGTGTGGTTTGTATTTATAAGGACTTTGTGCTAAAATTGAGATGTATAGATAAATATTAAGGGTATATCTATGCCACAATTTTTGTGTATTGTATTATATTTTAAACATAAAGAAAGCTCCTCATCTTTACTTTTTGTCGCATTTATGTTCTAAACTTTCTTTTGTTACTTTTTATCCTTATTCTTCAATTAATTAATACATCATGTTTGTGATGACGGTTTGTATCCAAATATTTTGTCAGGATATTACGAAATTAGGGGTAAATATATATCTGAACATTAATATTATTTACTTTTTCTCGTTATTTAAAAATATAATTGATAAATAAATCTTTTTTATAATCCCGGAAGGATTTTTTGGATGGAAATTATCACTAGGTATAAGATGTGCTAATTAGTGGGATGATGAGGACAATAGTGCAACGGACAAACGTCGGAAAAATAAGTGCGACAATGAGTTGAAGACTTTCATTGTAATTAAAATATATTGAACCCCAATTTTTGAGAATAGATTTTGTAAATAATCATTTTCTTAGAGTACATATGGTTAAAAAGTTGAAAAAAAGTTTTAAACTTACGTTTAAAATTATTAGAAGGATGTGCAGTTGATAATGAATTTGGAAAAAAAATAATTTTAAAGAATGAACTTCAAATATGAGCTAAATTAGTTCATGTTTGACTCTCGTTAAATTAAAATTCGTTATTTTTCATACTCATTTTAAATTACACATTCAAACAATAAAATATTTTGCACACAAAATTTTTTTTCTCAACTTTTTAATCCCACAATTTTCAAAAAATCACAATTCAAAACATCATTTCCCCCAGTTAGTTTTTATAATGGCCATTAAATAAATTTAGTAATCCTATGAAGCACATGGGTTTGTTAAAGAAGTCAGCAGCTCACAAAAAATAAACAGTTGTCGCGTTTTGAGTAGTAATGTCAACTAGTTGAGTCAAGTAGGCTCGCAAACTGAAACTCGAAGCTCGGGCTCGGCTCAAGTAAATATGGCTCTGGCTTTGGCCCGAGACGAGCTTTTTACTTAACCAAAAAATCTAGGCTCGAACCGAGTTTTCGGCTCGGGCCTTATCGAGCCAAGTCGATTGTGATTTTTTTTTTTACTTTTTTTTTTATTTTTTAAAAAAGGCACTGCTTTCTGCTACAAGCAGCAGTTGCTGCCTGACACTTAGCTTCCAAAGCTATTTTTTTTTTTTATAAATTTGCTCATTGGCCGAAAATGGCTCGTATGGCTCGACGCTCTGTGTCACGAGCCATCGCTTTAAAATGGGGCACAGCTCGAGCCTTGACTCGATTCTAATGAGCCATGAGTTGTGTCGCTTGGACTTTTCTAGGGCCAAGCCATGGATCGCTCGATCTGACAAGCCAAATTGACACCACTAGTTTTGAGTAAGCAAGCAGTTGTAGGTAACAAAATTATAAGTCTTTTTAAAGTCAATTTCAATTACTTAGAGCATGTCTAATGTCTTAGAATTTATATGGAAAGAAAATAAAATTTAGGCAATTCAATTTTCTAAAACTTATTTGTATAAAATTATTAATTAATGTGCTTGATTGATTTAGTTTTCAATCTAAAAATATTATAAAAAATATTATATTTGTCCATTTTTTATTGGTGTGTAGATGAGAGAGAAGGGATAGATAAGAAAGAGAAAGTATTCTCTAGAAAATAAAACCTTACTCAACCTAAAGAAAATAGTTTTCTTGATTTTGAAGAATATATGGTCACACGACCAAAAGTAGGAAAATGTTTTCTATGGAAAAAATGTCAATCAAAAGTACCAAAGTAGGAATTTGGGTGGAAAAATACATTTTTCATGAAAAATATTGGCAATCAAACGCACCCTTAAATTAAAAATAGATAAAAAATGAACAGTGGTTAAGTGAGTAATACTTATGAATTCCTCGAAAGTATGTAGATAAAGCTGACTTGAGTGTTTATAAATAGTATATAAATATGAGCTTAATATAGGCTTAAAAATAAGTAAAAAGAGTAAAAAGATTATATAATATTGTCGACACCAAGATATTCAAAAATGAGGATGTGAGAAAAGATGGAAAAGTGTAGGCATCAACACCGAGGGGCTCAGGTGTCGACCTCATGCCAACTTGAAAAAAGAGAGAGCATAATTTGGCATAAGGTTTTGACACCACAAAATCGATACCGTCTGCCTAAAGTCAACTCCAATGTAATAGTGTCAAACTCGTATCAACCTTCAAATCATGATCTATATCAACATCACGAGCTAAAAATCACTTGATTGGTAATGTTTTCTTTTGTTGATGATGTCCGACTCTAGATATGATGTATATAATAATGATCTATTGTCATTTTGGCCTTCAACTTGACAAATTATACGAAATATAGAAGAACAAAATATTGGATACGAGGATAGACAACAAATGAAAAAGTAATGTTCTAACCAAAATAAAATATTATTTTTATGGGTAATTAACACATAACGTCCTTATATTTTATTATTACTATGAAAAATTTCATTACCTTTTATTTTTTTGACATTTTTGCCCTTATTTCCACATTTCATTGAGCAAACTGTCATTTTCATTGAAATGACAAATACACCCTTTTGTTTAAATAAAAGGAAAAAAAAAGAACTAATTGCAACCATAGTCCTAATTAAAAAAATGCAAACGTGTACTAAATAAATTATTAAAAGGGTAATTAGCACATAATGTTCATACATTTCACTATTATTGTGAAAAACGTCCATATTTTTCATTTTTTTTTTGACATTTTTACCTTTAATTATACTTTTAACTGCGCATTTTAATCCATTTTCATATAATTTATCAAAAAAAAAAAAAAGATTGTCAATAAATCAATTAGTAAAATATTAAAATTTATTATGAACCATAAATTATATCGAGAAACAAAATTTGTAAAATAACTAATAAGTCAATAATATTGTAAGAAAATAATAAAAATATATTTTAATATCACTATCTTATAAAAATTATAAGGAAAAAATGAAAATCATTGTGAATGATAAAAATTTATCCTCGTTGACTAAAGCACCGTTGGGGATTCTTGACAATATTGTTGATGCATTGTAGTCGACAATCACGACGAATGTGAACCTTTGATCACCATCAGTATTGTTGTGGTAATTCAATCTAGATCATCAATATATATTGATTTCATTCAGAATCAATAACAATTATAATGTTGACCTTTTTGATGTTTTTTTAGCACTGTCGTTGATTTTCAATACCAATAATGACATTATTGTCAGTAATTGCTTATGAAAGTTAACCCGTTGATCACCAACAATATCAATATTGATAACTAAGTTTGAATCACCAACAAATATTGATATCAATCCGTTAGTGATCATTTGCTCCACTAATATTTTTATACCGTACTCGTAAAGGTCCATTGGAAATTTTACCAAGAGCCTCCAAATTACTTGAAATGCCACTAACCAAATCCCCATTTATTTTAATATTTGTTTGGAAGAGGTTATTTCAAGTGAAAATTATATTTTTATTTTTTTTAGAGTGAGTGGTTAAAAGTAGGGTTCATGTGCAAAAAAAATTATTGGGAGTGATTAAAAATGAGTTTGAGGAAAATGATTTTCAAATAAACACTCAAGTGCTTTTAGTCATTAATAATGGTTTATCATCTTAAAAAACTATTAAATATTTAAATTGATTGAAAAGTTCACCACATGCAAGATAATAAATATAAATATTAGAAGAAGGAAAAATGGAACGAAATTCATAAAATACTGCAATTGGTACATTATTCCCCTTTTTGGTAGAGATAAAATCAGATTTTTAAATGTGCAGTTGAAAAGTTGTGGATCCCATGAAATGTGTAATTAAAATTAATTGTTGATCTTAACTTCAGATTTTAATTCAAACCAAACATGGGGATATATTGTATTTTATTAAACTGTAGTGTATTGTAAGATAACATAATAGGTCGTTGTATATGATACTAAAGAAAGCCCAACATAAGAGTGTGTGCCGTACTTACAAGAGTCAATGCGATTACCTACTTTGATCAACGGGTCAATGGTTCAATCAATATGTCATTATTAGGTCGTACCCAATGTTAGTGGTGCGAGAAGAACAATATATCGATGAGAGTAGATTAAAAGAGGAATGGACAAGAGTGCTGAAAACGTGTTTTATGAGAATGAAGATGGTGGTGATCAACGCCTACGATTGCATGGATTGCTAGATTCCATTGTAGCTACGATCAAATTGAACTCAATTTTGTGAGGTCTACTGCCATGCTGGCTATTTTAACTTCGGAACATGGATCTTACTACATGTACAACCATGGTTGACAACTTTTGTTGACAGTCATGAGTTAGCATGAATCTACACTATCCATTTTAAAAACTATTTTTTAAATAAACATCACAGATCTTGATAACACATGAATTGTTAACATAGTTGTCAACAAAAATTGTACAAATAACTTTATTTTTTGTCCAATCATAAGGTAAATGATTGGTTTGCACTTACTAAATTGGCACTAGATGCATGTCTATTTCTCGCC